TAATTTTCTAAAATACATATAAATGAAAGATTCATAAAAAGAAAGGGACCTCCCCAACAATTAGTAGTAAAATTAGATTTATAAATGAAAGGTTCATAATTACGATACAGAGCCACCTTTTTTGCAGGCTTCTCAAATTCCAGATTAGTAAGATTGAAGGCTAATGTCTCTTTTTGGATGTCAGCTTTGAAACTCCCCGATAAAACTTGATCCAAGCTAAACCTCATGAATCTGCCAAAACACAAATAAGGGAAGAGTTACAACTTAAAAAAAATGAAACTGCACATATACAAAGCACAACTTCTCACAACTGCATCAAATTCATGATTAATGGAAATTGGAGACGAAAAGGAGCCTCATAACCAATTTCCAAGCGGTGCTTGAATCATCTTGAAGACACCCCACAAGTAATGCTCGGATTGAAATCATGTCCAAAGAATAAATCAAATTAAAATGTAATGTTAAAATGTATAAATAATGTTACTGAAATGTTCAACTGAAGAGATAGAATACATGAAGTTCACTCTGATGTTGGATTTGTTGGAGGGAGATTGGGCGCATTTTGATACAAGTCTTTTCTGGCCCCTTTCTCGAACCAAAGGCTCTGATACCATGTTGGGGGAGATACTAGAAGCATTGATACATAGTGTATGAATAAGCACCTTTGCGAGAGACACATCACTTATCCATCTGAAACCTTAATGTGATAGGTGAGTGGATTCTCCCACTTATATATGCTTAAGTCTCCACATTCCTATCCAACGTGAGACTATTTCCCCACTTACTCACACTTGCTATATCATTCCAACAGGAATGGAAGCAAGGTGGAAAGAAAAACTAAAAGCACTTCATTTTCGGTCTAAAACTCGAATGGCTTCTTCAGTCCGAATGATATCATCAACAAGCTTTTCAAAGGCACTTATAGATGATCTGTAGCGGAAATACTATATAGATATTTAAATTTAACGAAAGATCGCATTAACATGATTTAAAACTTGTCTATTAAATTACCTTTCATGCACATGGAAGAAATAAAAGAGCAATGCTCTTATTAATTGGTCCATCAAAATAGTAGAAATAATGATTGCAAAATATGCAGTATTTCTTGAAGTTGGTCCATCAAAAATAGAATGACGCCCCTGCGTACAATATAAAAAACGTCAGATAAAACATAACTGCAAAAGAGTAAAGTAAATAAATATTACATAATTGTCTCTTCTTAAAGAGGAGTCGACATTTTACACATATTTACAACTTCAATAATATTATTTCTTGAGTTTACTTCACCGACATTTACAGTTATGATGTGCAACATAAAGTTGGTACCAACCGAGTCACCTGCAGAAGTAACAAAAATAGCTATTAACAGAACTAAGTTTATGCTTAAATTAAGCAGTAATGTCACCAAAGGCATGAAAACAAATTTACTAAAAGGATCAACTCCGACTTTTTTTGCCTGCTTGAACTCCATCCCCTTCGGTTTCCCTTGCTTCTCCGACGAAAACTCACTAGAAAAAGGACCTGAAGACAAGATCGTGAAAGGCGATAATGCCACACCAAACATAGTGAGAACTAAATGTCAAATATTTGTTGAGTTGTGCCATGTTATTTGCATCAATTTTTTAGTTTTGTATGACTTTGAAAAGTTTTGTATTTAATCTAGTTTGTTTATTATTAAATATTTGCAGAAGAATATTTAATCAGAGAATCTTAAGATTTTATCTAAACTAAATAAACATTTTAGTTATTTGTGACTCTAGTGTGAAGATAATGCATAACTATAGGCACACAACAAACCCCGGTCAATACAATAGAACCGACAATTTCCATATATTTTATAAAATTGATATTTAAGCTTCTTTTTTTAAGATCTCGACATTGCTTATTACCATCCATAATACTCATCACCTTCAAACAACAAAAACATCAACCACATAAACAACAAAAACATATTCAACACAACACTAACAACAAAAATGGCTTGACGAACGAAATCTAGAAGAATGAAACAAATTAAGTAGGATAAGAACAAAATAGTAAGGAACGAAGAATATCAGAGTTTACTTGTGTCGGAAACCACCGCGTATCACTCAGTCCAACCGACGCACCACCGTAAACCAAATCACACCACTATTGTTTTCGATTCCCTTTTCTGACCATGAAAGCTCCGCCATATTCAATTATGCTGCCCCATCATCAGTGTACAATCACCATGAATTTACACACAAATCTCACAGTTTCGTCAGTTTCCCGTATGGGATTTTCATCGATGCGCAAAGGAAGCGGAAAACAGAATAGTCACCATCAATGTTATTTATCACAAGAGAGGGAAAAGAAATACTGAGTAAACATAAGGGAAGGAAAGGAGCATGGTCATCGCGACCAAGAGAAAAGGGGTAAGGAAGTCGGTTAAGTGAGGGAAATGTATTAACATCTCTCACATCTGTGGTACTCCACTAGATCCATTTAAGTTTGTTTTATTCTAAGGGTGTATCTAATCTATGTCTAAAGCTTAATGATAAAAGGGAAATGCATGAATGCAAAGGATTTTGTACATAAAAAAGTTTTTATTAGTTATGTCTATCGCAGTTGCAAACCTTTGTGCCTATGTACCACCTATCGTGCAATAGAGATCAAGGCACTCGTAGTTCACCTCAAAAGTTTTGGTGTGTTGTATGTTTTTTATGAACGATGCTAGCGAAGCATGTCCTTTTTGAAAAGGTTTTAAAAGAGAAAGTTCAAAGACAAAAAGATTTGCATTGGTTGTATTTTTTTTACCTTGAAAATGAGTTTTGTAATTTTAGAGCGTCTTATGAGTTTCCCAAAGAAAAAGAGGTTTTAGTTTTAATTCAATTGTCATAGGAAAGCCTAAGCAAAGGGGGAAGCGTACACAAGGGATGGCAAGCAATGGAAACAAGCAAGCATCACATAGGAATAGGAAAAGGGATGGTAAAATATCAACACTTAACACTGATATTAAGTCATCAAAGTAGGATAGAAAGCGATAAAGAGATGGTAAAATATCGATCAAATATACACCTAACAATGATATCAAGTCATCAAAGTAGGATAGAAAAGATAAAAATCGACGATGGAACATCGAACAAATGTACACCTAACTATGGTATCAAGTCATCAAAGTAGGATAACCAAGATAGAAATCGATGATGGAACATCGAGAAAACGTACACCTAACGATGGTATCAAGTCACAAAAGTAGGATAGCAAAGATAAAAAATGATGAAGAAATATCGATCAAAAATAGGTCTAAAAAGGGAGGAAAAGCTAGCAAAAATAGCCCTAAAGCTATCATGCAAAGTTGGTCCTATAGTTGGGATCAAAGGAATTCTACCTAATGCCGACATGCATAGATTCAAGCCTAAGGTCTAATTAGTTCAAATTTGAAAGAGATTGAACTAAATATCCTAGGGGGAGCACGCAATCACGCAATAGAAAGCAAACATACGAAGCTTGAGGAGTATCCACTCACTCAAGTAGCACACACATAACCAAGGTATTATGTCACTAAGGTAGGAAGGGGAGAGGGATAACACCTAACCATGATATCATATCATCAAGGTAGGATAAGGGAAGTGGGACATCTAACCATGATATTTTTTCATCAAGGTAGGATAAGAGAAGGCTTAACCAAGATATCGAGTCATCGAGGTAAGCAAAATGGGGGAATGAATAGCTCTTAACCATAATATCATGTCATCAAGGCAAGAAGAATAAGGAGTGTCAATCCTTAACCAAGATATCGTGTCATCTAGGCAAGAGAAGAACAAAAGTGAATCGTCATAGGTGACTAAACACCTAACCAAGATATCAGGTCATCAAGGTAGGAAATAGAAGACAATAATGAGATCACACCAAAGCATCAACATTTACAAACGCGAGCCAATGAGAAATTGTGGGGGTTGATTATGAACCCTCTATTCCACTTGATCGACTCGATAATAAAAGTAGCATGATTCATAGCATCAATGTACGACATGAGCTACGAATGACCTGGGGACTTGAAATGGCGGGGGTCGATTGCGGACCCTCACTTCGCCTTATGCCTTATTTGAGGTCTTTGCATAAAGGGAAAATGGGAACGAGAATGTCTTCTTTGAGGTCTTTGGCACAAATATAAACACACAAAATCGCCTTTGTTGAGGACTTTAAACAAGAAAGCACAAGTAGGAATTGCCTTCTAAAGGTCTTTTAAAACAATATTGTCCACCTAAAGTAGGGACTCCCAGTCATGCATCTCTATTCCTACTTCTCATGGCAAAGAAAGCGGTAAACGATACAAGAGATAAGAAAGTAAAGAGAGCTCAGATGATACCTAACGGAGAAAATCCGCTGCTTCTTCACAATCGCGCAAGCAATAAGAAAACTTTACACAAAGCTTCCTTGAATTCCTTGATGAGGATTACACACTTAGTTTGCTTTGAAACTCCTGAAAACTTTCAACTAAGTCTCTTTTATTTACCAATATCACAAAAAATCAATCCCAACTAGTGTGCATTCAATAAGCTACTTGATCCATAAAATAGGCGTAGGCCCACTAGCAAAAGTCCATAAAACTGTTTTTGTTTGTACATGGCTTCAACTTACCCAAAAAAAACGTATATAGACCTATAAGAGAGTGAGGCGCTAGTCCCTTCTGATCTAAAGCCCAGACAAAGTTGACCCAATACCATATCACCAAATTTATCTCCAATCAACATATTTTATCATTACTTCAGATTATTATTATTATATAACAAAAAAACACAAAATAGTGAAGTAAAAAATGAAGCTAAACGGTGCGTTTATCACAAAGAATAGGGTTCAAAATTGGGACTCTTGAGCTTTCACGCGGAACAGAAGCTCCTTCTTCTTTATGAAAACTGCGACGAGTGCCGATCTCTGACTCAACCTCCCTCGCCGTTCTCAGTCGTGATTCCTCCCATCGTTCTTAACTCATCATCGTTCACCATCATTTTGATTCCGTCAACGACTCCGCTTTGATGAACATCCCATCTTCGCTCAACTCTGCTTCAGTTTTGTTCATTTTCGTTCTTATCACGAATCAACCGTCTTTGTTAAACATCATTCATTCTGATCACGGTCTTTGTTTTGTTCACAACGTCGTGATTTCACTCTTCAATCTCTGCCGTGAACCTCGTCTCAAATTTGTTTCCGATACAAATTCACCTTCCTCGCGCTGATTCTGCTGCCCCGTGCCTCTGTCCCTCACGGTGGAACGTGTTTTTCTCACGAAGACGCCTAGGATCAGACCTAATCCCCAAATCGAGTTCGACACGCTACCAAATTTCGACGGCGGTGGCAGCGGTGTATCTGCGATTCACGCAACCAGGTACGATTCGGAACTCTGTAGCTTTTACATTCTGACCTTCTTCTCTTCTTCTTCACTTCCAAGCTTGTGTTTCTGCGTTTTGTTGCGTTGCAGTGACGAAGGTTAAAGATTGGAGATGTCGTGAAGTTGATTGTTGCAGTCGTTGAGAAGTGAGGAACGTTGTTGGTGATGATAAAACTGAAAAATCGGTGTTGCAGAAGTTGCGATTCAGAGAAAAAGATTAAGGTTATTGATGGAGAAATCAGAGATATTTTGTTGATTTGCGATGAAGCTCTTGAAGATGCAGTGTAGTTGATGAGTTAAAGATTGATGTTATAGTGATGAAGATGAAGTTGTTATGGTGGAGGATTGAAGAATTGCTTCAGAGAAATATTGAAGATAATGGTTAGAGTGTGCAGAATATCGGCGAGAGTTTCAGAGTGAGAGTGAATTTTTGTGTGGATATTTCTTGGTGATTCTTCCAGAAATTGGAGAATGAATCCATGCAAGGTGAGAAATCTGTTCCTCATAGTTCCTCAAAGTTAGTTATGTGATATTCAATCTGAGCCCTTAATCTGAAAGTTTGTTATTACAATGAATGGATGAGATTCAATTGAAATTTGCCTTGTGATTTTCTGTTATGAGCTTGTTCTAAAAAGTCCCCTTCTATTCTGCTGAATTATACATCTGTTATGGACTTCTTTTTCTGTTATTTTCTGTTTATTCTGCTAAGCTGGAAAAATGAAATTGGCTTTGGGTTGCTTTTGATTTTCTGATTTCGTATTATCGTATGCCGGTTATGCGAATTGGACAATTGTTTGGTCGTTTAACTGGTGTGAACTGGTTGTTATATGCAGTGTGGTTCATGTTGCGGATCCGGGCAACGGGTTTTACATGGAGAGTCGATGAAGTTGCAGCACAGTATCGGACAACCAGTTTTGCCGGTCTGATTTATGGTGCAGGTTTGGGGTTGTTGCGAACCTGGTTTATTTGTTTCAACACTTGGTCATGAAGCAGCAATGGAGATGGAATCAAAGATTGGTGAAGACCATTAGCCATAGGTCTATGTTTTGTGATTTTTTTTATGTAAGAAACCCTGCAATGCCTTTTGTAAACCTTAGCATACTTTGTAATTTGTATCTTCTTTTTATTCTAAGTTCACAAAAGTAATAGATTTTGCCCACGAACTTGTCTTCAAATAATGGTTTACAGGACCCTCTTGATTAACAAATTTTGTAGGTCTTTGTAATGAGATGAAATTTCTTGTAGTGAACTTGAATGAGTCTTGAATAAAACAGGAACCAAAAGACTTGAACGCAATGAATGGTGAATATCTGAATAAATTCCATGATGATGGATGAATGAAACAAGTCTTGTAAATCTGGTGGCTTGCTCTTTAAAGAAGATCCAAATAATTTCCCATTTTGCCAACTTCAAACAAATCCAATCCTTCTTGAAATGTCTTGAACCAAATTGCATCCATACGTTAGATCGTCTTTTGAATAGATACCTCCTCATAATGATCAAGTCATCTTTCACCTTTTGGAGAAAGTCTAAGAAATTTGCGCCATGAAAACCCTAGGCGGGTGAATCTCAAATGATGAATTAACAAGGCTTAAACATAATGGACAAGAAATCCTAATTCAGTGATTCTTGAGGAAGAAACCTCACCTGGAACATAATAGTTCATAATCCTTACTCCATAGTTTAATGCTTGAAGATAGACAAGAGAAATAAAGCTCATCGGATATATATATAATCCTCAATCACTATAAAATCCCAGCTTCTAGTGAACTTGAGATCTTCTTGTGAAACTCTAAAGCGAATGACAATCCTATGTTTTGATATCATAATCCTGATGACGATAATTCAACCTTGCATTATCTGAGTATTATATCTCCTTCTTAAATGGAAAGAAACATGATCCACAAGGAGCCTTGATCCCATATCATATGAAACCAATGTTATGCATGTATGAATGATAATGAAGCATAAGTCAATTAGGGTAAGAATAAAGATGGCAAATTTTATGGTGCAACAGTCAGAAATCTGGTTAGGTTCACAGACGAGATCTGAAGAAAAAGTTGAGAGAAAGAGATGAAATGGAGAGAGAGAAAAATTGAAAGAGGAAGAGAGAGAAAGTTGTTTAGGGTTTGGGTGGAAGCATAATTTTTTTGAACTCACTATTTACGTTTTGGTAGAGAAGAGGTGTAGTTGACAACTTGCAAAAAGAAGACGTGACATGTTATGGAGTCAGCAGGGTAATTGAGTCTTTTCCAGAACCATTAAAATTCTTATATGATAGATAAAAAAATATTATTATAAAAAATAAATATGTCTTAGTAGTTTCTATACATTAACATCACATAGAAAAATTGTTCTAAAATAAAAGTTAGTAATAAAATTTTCAAAAAAAATCTAATTGTATTTTTGTGTTGATCTATACAATATATGACAATAATGGGTTAGTTAGATATATACAATATTGATGATCTTTTGTTGATTCTGAATGGTGAGGTAGCTCATAAGTTTGATGTTATTATGGTCGATTTGGATTCAAGCGATGTAAGAGATGGTATAAGTTCTCCACCCTTGGAATTTGTTAGAAAGCATGTTCTACTTGTTGCAAAATTAGTTCTTTCTGAATTTGGAATTCTTGCAATTAATGTTATTTCTCCAAGTCAGTCATTCTATGACAACTTGGTTAATATTTTCAGAAAGTTTTCCATGATCTGTACAAGATAGATGTAGGGAATGATGAAAATTTCATTCCTATTGCCACAATATTACCTCTGGTGTTTTCTGTTGGGGATTGTAGTAGTCCTTTTCTGTTGCAATCGAAATCAGTTATTCCAAAAACATACATCAATTTCATAAGAAAGGTATAATGTATCACATGTTGAAACATAAGTACTTTTTAAAATCTTTCATATATACTTATTGCACTGCAAAACTAAATGAAGATTTATATTAGGAGCTTTGGTACAATGATGCAGGATGAAGAATGTTTTTCCCATGCATCATTGCCCTTCTGTAGAAAAGTTTCTTTAAGGCAGTTGGCAATTCATTGTAATGATAGGATTGAGTGACAAAGGATGAGTCTAGAGTATGGAGAGTTTATGTGAGGAGAATCTATGATCTTAATAGTGATTTCTATCTAATAGAAACTTAAAAGGTAGAAATCAGTTCTTGGCCTTAATTACTATGTAAAGAAAAGATGATACAATGTAAGAGAATCTCAACCTGTGAATCTTTTTTGTGTTTAGCGATAGATTTATGCCAAATTTTGCACCCTTTTCATGTGACGATCCTTTCTAATTATTGTCCTCTTCTACTTTACTAAAATTTACCCCAGACTAAATTAAACTATACATTTACCATGCAATAGTGCATCATGATACTATTAGCATATTAAGCAAAATCATCTTGATTCCAACACGTTTGTCATCATCAAATATATTTCTTGTTCATAACCAAAGAGAATAAAGAATAAAATAGAACACATGCAAAATTGGTAATAATTGAAAAAAGAAACTATTTGTATAATAAGTTTTTCGAGTTGTGTTCTTATATAAATATTGAACCAAAAATATTCGAAAGTTTTTTACATCAAGGCCACATTTCCTTGATTTTATGTGAGACAACCATCCATAATACATGGAACATGATTTAGTGATCAAAATCAAGATAACTTTGACTCATGGCAGAATGATCCTGCAACTTTCAAGAACTTAGGAAATTATTTAGCCTCCCAAAAATAATATTTGAACTAAAGTTATTGGATTATTGCAGTTTAATCTTCGAGCTCAATAATCTTAACCACAAATGCATCACCAAGTTTCTGACAAACAACAACTCGATCGTGTGGCTTCATAACTCCCAATGCTTTTCCATGATCAAGAACAACCTTAAGAATAAATTCATTTTATGCACTTGTTGACTCAGTCTGCAAAGACAGTATAAGACATCAACATCTAATAAATCTGCAATCATTATGTTATGTATTGCATGCAATAGAGATTACAAATATGTCTACCTCCAAAGAACAAACTCATAGAACACCGAGTATTAAAACTGAAGAAAGAAATAAAACTGAGTTGTCGAAAAAAACTTATAGGATGTCGAGGATCAACAAGCATAGGAAAATGTTGTAAATGTGCCTTAAAACTTTTGTTGATGAAGAGAAAGAAATATATTTTAGAGATTGCATTTACCACGAAAATCAAAAGTTTTAGAAAGTTGGACGAAAAGTAAAAAAATAGAAATCAAGGCAAAAATCGGTCGGTGAATAGTATTGAAATTCTGGCTGCAGATACTCAATGTCACGTTCAATGTTATGACACCGTATCTGACTTTCTATAAGACAGTAAATACAAAAACAGTAAAGAACACAGTCAATTGTTTACCCAGTTCAGTGTGCAACAACACCTACTCTGGGGGCTACCAAGCCAGGGAGGAAATCCACTATAAGAGATATTAATTCAGGAATAAACCAACCAGTTTATCTCCTTCACTTAAGACCTACCCAATGCAACTTCAATCTAAGTACAACTTAAACCTGAGTTCCTACTCACTCCCCCTCAATCACAGCAGTGATACTTAAAACAATTGACTAATGATTTAATGAAGACACTCTTCAAAACATACACTTGATTATGCTTCACAACTTTTTAATCAAGCAACACAAACACTCTTGCTTCACAGCTTTGAGTGATACATAAACCTAACTTGACTTTGCTTCAAAGCTTTAGTCAAGAGACACAAAACACTCTTGCTTCAAAGCTTTGAGTGATACAAAACCCTTACAATTAAAACCTATTCCAAGTCACTTATCACAATGATACTTGCTTGGATTACAATAGTTAAAACTATACAGCTTCTAAATGATCTTCTGTACAAAAGGGATAAATTCCAAACAGTAGCCTTGTTGAATATATAGCAGCTGCTTCTTCAGTTAGGGTTTCCACAAAAAGCTAGGGTTAATTCCGTTTGACCTTAAGACTTGGTCACAAGACTTTATCAACCAGATTAGGGTTGAGCTAGGTTAAACCCAAAGTCCACGAGAGATTATGTTATGGAAAGACTGAGTCATCTTCCTGAAAAATCTCAGAATTAACCAAACTGCATAACTGTTAGATCAGAACAGGATGTCTTAACATTTGTTATGACATCTGAATTCCTGTTTACTGATTTTGGTAAATGTGATCATTTTGCAAAATGCTCAGATACACACTCATAAACAATAGTACCTGTATGCCACTATTTTTCTGCAAAGGTACCTAATAAATCAGTACCTAATAAATCAGAATGTTATGACATTAGTCATGACATTCACACACCTAGTTTTACCAAAAATGCATGTCAATAACTAAACAACTACAAGTATCATCCGTACGGATGAATAGTATTGTCTGTACGGATGAATATTGTTGTTTGTACGGTGAATAGTGATGTCCATATGGTGAATAGTGATTTCGGTTTTTTGGTTCGGTCCATGGATCCATGTATAATTGGATTGTGGTTTTGGGCTTGATTTGTTAGGTATTTGTTATTATAAATATGTATTTCTTATATGCTTGCAGGTGTGACAATTAGAGCTTATAACAATAAGGGAGAGCAAGGGTTTAAGGCATAGCATAGAGTTTTGGATATTCTCAAGAGAAACCTTAGAAAGACAAGGATTTTGGAAACCTTTGGGGTTATCTAAGGTTATTGAGAATTAGGAGACACGTGTTTACACATTGGGTTTAGATTATTCATATATTGAAGGTTGAAGAGGTTGAGAAACACTTGGGTAGAAAATAAGATTGTTCTTGGGAACCTGAAGGCGAAGACTATTTTCTTGTAACTCCTTTGTAATCTCTTGTAACAACTTTCTGAGTATAGTGAATTGGAGAGTTGCTCTCTCCTCCAGAGTAGATCGTTTAATCGAACTGGGTAAATAAACATTCGTCTTTTTCTCACCTTATTCTGTTATATTATTTATGTATGAATTATTATTATTATTATAGACCATTTATTTTGGTTGCTACTATTCTTTGCCTCACAAATTGAATATTGAATATTGTCGTAATTCACAACAAGATTTACAATAAGTGGTGCGGTGAGCGTGAAGCAAAGAAGTATTATTGACAAGTGAGCACCATGATTAAATGGGAGATCGAGAAATTTTCTGGTAACAACGACTTCGGATTGTGGAAAATTAAGATGCATAAAATTTTTAATTCAAGAGAAGTGTATCGATACTTTGAAGAGTAAAGCATTGATGCCTGCAAGGCTTACACGAGTCCAGAAGACCGAGATGGAAGATAAGGCCAAAAGTGCACTATCATGTGCCTTGGCGATAAAGTTTAAGAGAAGTCATCAGGGAGTAAACTGCGGTTGCTATGTGGGAAAAACTTGAATCATTGTATATGACAAAGTCTTTGACTCACAAGTTGTGTCTGGCACAACAACTCTATTCATTCTGAATGGTGGAGTACAAATCCGTAGTTGAACAACTTATAGAATTTCACAAGATTATCGATGATCTTGAGAATATTGAAGTGAAAATTGATGATGAGGACAAGACTTTGCTCTTGTTGAGTTCATTACTGTTGTACCCCAAAATTTTCCCTCCCATATTCTTCAAAATTTTGACAAGCATCATCTCAATTTGCTCAAGTCTACTCAAGGGTTGCACAGTTCAAACACCCTCATAAGCCAGTCAAATTAGGGTTTTGGTTCTTGCAAGGAAGTTGAGGTTTTCAAGGGCTCAATCAAGTCACATATGCTCATATACATTGTCAAGCACCTACATGTCAAGTTTCAAGGCTCACAAGGTCAAGTTGCACAGTCAAAAACCCTAATTGCTTCACAATCAACTGTAGGGGCAAAATAGTCATTTGGCAGTCAAAAGTCAAAAAATTTGGTCAACATCTTATTTTGAAGCCACAATCATCATTTGGTCAAATCTTGACCATGATTTCACAAGAATGGCTCAAAAATCATTAAGATGCAAAAGTTTCTATTTTTGGACAGCTGAAAAGTCAACTGTAACTTGACCAAGGCATAACTTTTTCATGGTTCATCAGAAAAAATCTCATTCAATGCTTATTTTGAAGGGGAGGACATTTCCTACAACTCATCTTCACATTCTAAGTCCAAGAAATGCTCTCACAAAAAGTTATCAATTTCAACATTATAGGTCATTTTCAAAAGTCAACAAAAAGGCATTTTAAGTCAAAGACCATAACTTGAGATTGGTATATTCAAATGACATGGGACCAAAGGCATTGGTTATAGGACTTCAAGACCTTTCCAAAATGTCCAAGAACATGTTCATATGATCAAAATTGAGCAAGATATGCATTGGAGAAGTTGGGAAATTTTTGTGAAATGGCAAAAGTCAACTATCCTTGAAACTTCAATTTTTGACAAAAGGGCCCACTTTTTTCCACTTGATTCATCCTTGTCATGCCACCCACGTGTCCCATGATCAATTTCAAGACCAAATAATTATTTTTCTATTTTTATTTAATTTTTATGGATTTAATTCATTTTAATCCATAATAATTCAAGTAAATCTAAAAAAATTAATTAAATGGTATCTTATGGTTTGAATAGCCTTCATGAAGCATTTGCAACCTACCAATTTCGCGCTAAGCTCATTTAGGCATGAAAATTCAAATTTTGAACAAGCTTTGAAAGACCTTTAATGGTGGTTAAGACAAAATCCAAAGCTTAATTGCAATGGTTAAAGGCTCCTAAATGTGACTTATTCTCACTCATTACTATATATACAAGCCTTGCAAGCCTCATTCACAACCAATAACATTACACAAACGGCCAGAGCAAAATCCAAAAAGTGTCAAAAAAAAGTGTGAGATCAAAAGGAGTGTTGCAAGCA